TGTTATTATTATTATTGAGACAGGGTTTCTCTGTTTAGCTCTGGCTTTCCTGGGATTTGCTTTGTAGACCAGGCTGACCTTGAACTCAGAGCTCTGCCTGCCTCTGCCTCCTGAGCCCTGGACTTAAATTAATATTTAGTGAATTTGCTAAACAATTAATATATTTGTCACTGAAATTTCACAAAAACTCTACAGTTATTATTATTCTCACTTTATAGAAATGGAAACAGGGCTCAGCACAGTTAAGGGAGATTCTTATTGCCATTCAGTAAATGGGCTCCGGTGGGCCAATATTTACCTTTTTCTTCTTCCTTTTAGGTTTTATTTGTTATTTTTAATTATGTGCATTCAGTGTGCCTAAATGTGCAAGTGAGTGTAGTGCCCATGGAAGCCAGAAAAGGGCGTTGGATCATGGAATTAGAATTAGGGGCAACTGAGAGCAGCCTGACATGGGTACTGGAAACCTAACTTGAGTTCTCTGCAAAAGCAGTAAGCACTCTTAACCACTGAGCCATCTCTCCAGCTCCCACATCACACATCCACCTCTTTCTAAACCTGTGCTCCTCTAGGTTAAGTTTAAATGATACTACTTTTAACCGATATTGCAAGTTTACTCCATGCAGGGCATTATTTTAAGCACATTACAGACAATTATTATTGCCACCTTACAAATAAGGACAGTGAGGCTCAGAGAAATAATTTTCTCAAGGGCACAAGCTAATAAATCCAGAGGTCCGGCTCCAATCACATGCTCTTGTTTTGCAGGGCCGAGGATTGAACCAGGGCCTCACACATGCTATGCAAGTGCTCAGCATCACCAAGTGCTCTCAGCCATCCGGAAAGCTTCCTAGCTTAGAAGATGATGAGATGGAGATGCTCTGGTGACCAGAGGGGATAACAGGCCTAGCTTTTTTCATTCCTGAACGAACACTGAGGTGGAAGCGGGTCTCTGGCTGGGCTGCAGTTGTAGAGAGTGTTAGCTCTTTCCTGTGCTCTTAGCTCACACCTGCTGCCCCGTGGTCTGGCCGGAATACTTGCTGCCCTTAAGACAGGCACTTGTGGAAATGCCATGTCATGCTCAGGCTCTGGCTCACAGCTGCCTGTGGATTACATTCTTTTCCATATGCATCACCACAGACTGGAGCCTCCTGCAGCCTGTCCCCAGGCCTCAGGGCCCTGAGTAAGTAAGCTGGCAGTGGATGGTGAGGGCAGTTGCTCTTCTCGAAGGAGTCAGCCTTACAGACTAACCACCCACATCTGTAACTGGTCAGAAGCCTGGGCCCCTGGATGGGGATGCTGGCAGTCTGACTTTCAGGACAAAGCAAGAAGAGTTTCACAGTCCAGAGGCATTTTGGGGTAGCTGCAGTTTTCCAGTACACACAGCTAGAGTAGAGTGTGGCATGAATGTCACTGAGGAACAGAGGCTGACAGAGAAGCCTGACACTCACTCCTAGGGAAGAAACCTAATTCTGAAGTCTGAATTCATTTTTACTTTGCAGTCACTCCCCTGTGGATCTCCCTGGTGCTCCTGTTATTTGTACGTGTGTGCTCACAATCCCCTCATATTGCTGTTGGTATGGCTGGTTCTGATGTGTTCATTCCTCATAATGGAAGGGTGCACAGAAGCCTCTTTTTTTTTTTTTTTTTTTTTTGGTTTTTCGAGACAGGGTTTCCCTGTGGCTTTGGAGGCTGTCCTGGAACTCGCTTGGTAGACCAGGCTGGTCTCGAACTCACAGTGATCCGCCTGCCTCTGCCTCCCGAGTGCTGGGATTAAAGGCGTGCGCCACCAACGCCCGGCTCAGAAGCCTCTTTGTATTGATAATTGTGCAAAGTATATATTCATGCCATGGCATTAAGAATTTTGGTTTTTACCAACATTTGAGATCAGAATTTTAAGATCATATTGGGCTACATAGTAAGACCTGTCGTAACAAAGAATTCATTTTTGTTTTTAAACTTTTATTTATTTAAAAAATTAGATTTATTATTAATGTGTATGAGTATTTTGTTTGCACTTATGTCTGTGTACCACTTGCATGCTTGGTGGCTGTGGAGGTCAGAAGAGGGCATTGGATCCCCTGAAACTGGAGTTATTGACAACTGTAAGATGCCATGTGGGTGCTAGGAAATTGAACCCATGTACTCTGTAAGAACAACAAATATTCTTAACGGCTGATCCGTCTCTCCAGCCCATGTTTTTAAACTTTTAAAATAAAGATCTTGTCTATGTGTGTGTAAAATGGTGTACAAGGAATAGTCACATATCCATTTACTCATACATTCATTCATTCACCACACATGCACAGGGTATCTGTAGCATATATATGCAGTTCGTGTGTCTATGTGCACATATAAAGGCCTTAACAGAGCCAAGGATCTCTGGGAGCTGGAGTTACAGGTGTTTGTGGGATGCTGGCTTGCTATGCGGGTCTGGGATCTGAACTCCAGTCCTCTTGCCTACGCAGTGCTCCTAACTGCTGAGTCATCTAGACCAGGATTTGTGGTCTAGAATAACCTATTATTTATAATCTTGCAGTGCTTACACAAATCTGATTGTTAGAAGCATCTGGAGAAATGGGTGTGGCAAATGCAAAGCTGTGTCTTAGTCCAATGAGTTTGCCATATACTACCAAGAATGGGAAAGGAAGGGGCTGGAGAGATGGCTCAGGGGTTAAGAGTACTGGCTGCTCTTCCAGAGGTCCTGGGTTCAATCCCTGGTACCCACATGGTAGAAGTAAAGAACCCTACAGTGGTTCTTTGACATCCACATGTATGCTTCAGCATGAATGCATGTCCCCTCACTCCACAAAACAAACAAACAAATAATAAAAGTAAATTTGCAGGGTGCAGTGATGTATACCTTTAATCCCAGCATTTGGGAGGTAGATCTCTGTGAGTTAAAGGCCAGCCTGGTCTACATAGTGAGTTCCAGGACATCAATGGCTATATAGAGAGACCCTGTCTCAAAAACAAAAACAAGACGAAAGAAAGAGAGAAAGAGAGAAAGAAAGGGAAAAAACCCCCAAAAAAAACAAAAATCAAGAGAGTAAGCTAGAGAGAGAGAAAGAGAGCAAGAAAAAGCAAGAAGCCAGCCACAAGGGACCATATGTTACAGTATAATTCCATTATTTGAGGTACATTTCTTTTTAGACATGGTTTCATTATGTGTCCTAGGCTGGCCTTGATCTCACAATGATTCATTTGCTTCGGCTTCCAAGTGTGTGCCATCATCAACTGGCCAATTCCATTTAGTTGAAATGCCGAGAACAGGCAAACCCACAGAGACAGAAAGCAGAGCAGTGCTCACTCACCTAGCTCTGGGGACATGAGACACTGGAGAGCAGAGTCTAAATTGTGTAGGATCTCTTTTGAAGGTAAGAAAAATGTTCTAAAGTGGACTGTGGTCATGGGTGCGTGGCTCTGGAAAAATTCTAAAAGCCATACAATTATGCACTTTAAGTGAGAAAAGCATATGAATTGTATCCCCACCCTCAAGAAAACTATCAGAAGAGAAGCATTTGATGAATAAGCAAATGGACAACTGGGTGTAAGAGGTGGTGGCTTTTGCTCTTACTGTCACTTAGAATGGGGTCCAATGGGAGGTGAGAACTACTCGTCTTCCATCTATCCACACATTCATTGGTTCAGCAGACATCCCAGCAGGATGATGCTGACTGATGGACTCAGCAGCAATGAGGATGTGTGGATCTTGCCTGCTCTCTGGGACCACACATTTAGTGGCTGCTCCCCCCCCGCCTTTTGAGGCATGGTCTCACATGAACCAAGGTTGGCATTGGCCTTGGACTCTGGACCTTCCTGCATTAGTCTCCCCTGGAGTGCTCAGAGGATCACAGGTATGCTCCACCAGGCCCAGATCCTTCGCCTTATCAGAGTTATATTTCTATTCTTAAGTCCTGACTTTTAAGGCACGAATTCCACCCCCAATCTCTTGGGCTGAATCTTTTCATGAGGACAGGCATAACTGAAATATGTAAACTGAAGTGGAACAATGAAGACAAATGATTTTAATAGGACTCGTTTTGGAAACTGGGTGCTTTTTAGTAAATAAGATATTTTGCTCAGCTTGAATATGCAAACCTACATCACATTTGTGTTAAATGATTAAGTTAATTCTGGTATAGTTCAACTACTTCATTTGGTTAAAAAATGTGAGTGACAGTAAAACCAAACAAGGGTTTAGGTGCCCCTAACACCCTGTGCTTACCCCACAGTTCTGGGTTAACCTCAAACTCAGAAACCTTCTTTTAGTGTACACCATACTATCTGTCCCTCAGCTGGGGCTTAGTCCTTCCATGCCTTTCCAGGCCTTGACCTCAACCTCTGGATTATAAATTATCACCCACTCTTGCTCCTCTTTCCTCAAAATATCCTCCTCTTCCCTCCCTCCCTCCTTCCCCTTCCCTCCCTGCCTCCCTCCCTCCCTCCCTCCCTCCCTCCCTGCCTCCCTCCCTCCCTCCCTCCCTCCCTCCCCCTCCCTCTGTCGAGCATGCGTGTGTGTGTGTGTGTGTGTGTGTGTGTGTGTGTGTGAGAGAGAGAGAGAGAGAGAGAGAGAGAGAGTGTGTGTGTGTGTGTTTACATGCATTTGTGTGGCCCTCTGTTTTTACTTCACTACCCTCAGACACTGTCTTCAGACCCCAAGGCTCCCTGTGAAAACCACAAAGGACCATTTGGTTTCCCTTAAGAAACAGAAAGTGTACAACTGTGGACAAACCTTGAAGGCCAGTTTCTCTGGTTTCTCTCCTAATCCACCTACCTCCACCCTCCCACCCCACCCCAGGGTTTCTCTGTGTAACAGCTCTGGCTGTCCTGGAAGGAGATCAGTCTGGCCTTGAACTCAGAGGTCTGCCTGCCTCTGCCTCCTGAGTGCTGGGATCAAAGCATCTAATGGCTTTTCTGAGACATGCTGTTCTGGTTTTTCTGAGAAACTTTGCTCACCAGAGTGCAGCTGGTTTGAAAACTCTGACTTGGGACATACATACCTGGCCGCCTTCTGAGTGAGCTCCAGGGGGAAATCTGGGCACAGTAACTGCAGCAGACAGTGGTACTCCCTCATGGTCAGCAAGTCTGCAGTGCAATGGAAAGGAGCGAGTTAGGACTGCAGTTCAGGTCACTGTCCACCTTTTGGTCATTTCATGGGTTTTGGGCCCAGTCTTGTTACAATACTGCTGTGATTTGAAAGCCAAGTCAGTGTAAAGGAGTGAGATTTTTCTTTCCTCTTTTCCTTTTTCTGATACAGGGTCTCAATATGTAGCTCTCGATGGTTTGGAACTATGTAAACCAAGCTGGCCTCGAACTCACAGAGATCCACTTGCCTCTGCCGCCTGAGTGCTGGTATTAAAGGATCGCACCACAGCTGGTCCAAGAGATGAGATTTTAGGACCGGTATCTCTACCAAGCCACCCCTGGATGAAGCACCAGTTACAGCATTTGGATCAGAGTGAAGAGAGGAAACAAGAGAACAGCTTCACCAGCCTTCCACCCTGTTTTCCCTGACTCCCAAACTGTGGGTGAACAAGTCATGCAAAGCTGTTTGAGTCTGTCCAAAGTCTCCGGCATGGCAGTATTAGCCACTGCATGCCCAAAAAGCCATCTACAAAATATCAACAGGCAGTGAGGCAAACGTTGTCTGCTCAGAGCTGGGGTGGGATGGGGTGGGGGGAGAAGAGTGGGGAGACGCTCATAGCACAGAAACCACAGACCTAAGTGCTCTGCTCCCCAGGACTGCAGCAGGCTGACTTCTTTGGGTATCTGCACACATATCTGGTCATCCTATTGTTATAGGAAGCCAAGACAAAGGTCCAAGATATATAGTTGTGGCAAACAAATAATTCCTGATCTTCAGTGGGAGGGATGAGCCCGGAGTTTTGTGGGCCAGATTTGCAAAGGGGTAAATCTTAGGAAGGGTCACAGTGGCTGGGCATTGGTGGCACACGCCTTTAATCCCAGCACTCGGGAGGCAGAGGCGGGCAGATCTCTGTGAGTTCGAGGCCAGCCTGGTCTACAAAGTGAGTTCCAGGACAGCCTCCAAAGCTACAGAGAAACCCTGTCTCAAAAAACAAAAAAACAAAAAGAAAAAAAAAGGGTCACAGTGTCCTGAGAGAGGAACCGCACCTACGCTTCTCAGTTGTTTTGCTGCAGCCTGTGCTACAACTAAAAGACTCTGGATCAGTTGGGCAGAACAAGTCTTCAAGAATTCCCAAGGAGCAAAGGCTTTCAAACATGGAAGGCCACAGGCACAGGGAAGCAAGAGCAGCCCGGCTGCAAGGATCCTAAGTGGGAGGAGGGAGCCAGAGGATGTCTACACTGGGGAGTGATGATGATGATCACAGGCATGTGGTTTCTTTGGACCCAAGTTAGCCCAGGCCACAGGAATCCACATCTCCTGCCCCTGCTTGTTTGCTAGATACTTTTCTAAGACAAAATCCCCAAATCTCCAGGGTCAGGCCTGGGCTCCAACCACTTTTTCATCAAAGCTCACTTCAAGGTGGGGGCACAGAGTTAAAATAACCACAGTGCCAAAGGCTGGGGCACCAAAAGAACAGACTCAGCGTCAATGTAGGTCAGGGGATCAAGAAGGTTTCTGCGGCCTTGACCGTGGCATGCTGGGCTGCACAGTCTTTTCTCACTCATTTGGCCCCAGGCAGGGTGGCAGGAGTTATATGCAAGCACAGTAGCAATAGCTTCAGTGTCACCACTTGGAGCCAGGAGCAGGAGTGATGGGCGGAGGAGGACACTTTCCAACAGAGTGCTGCCTTGGAATCATCAAGCGCTTCTCTATGCTAAACTCTGACACTGTTGTTGGGAGTGCAGCCAAAGACTGCACAGAGATTAGTATTCATTTCAAATCACCTGGATAGTCACCTTGGGAAGATGTCTATGGTGACAGCGGGAAGATGTCTATGGTGACAAGTTAGAAGAAAACAGCAAGGAGAGGAATTAATCTCTGCCTCCTGGTTTCCAGAGCTGAGTTCCTGTGTAGTTTCTTTCTTTCTTTCTTTTTTTTTTTGCTTTTAAGGTGCTTGGGGTCAAACTTAGACGTACTACACAAGTGCTCTACCTTTGAGGTACACCCCCAGCTCCTTTTTTTTTTTTCCGAGACAGTATTTCTCTGTATTGTTTTGGAGGCTGTCCTGGAACTAGCTCTGTAGACCAGGCTGGCCTTGAACTCACAGAGATCCATCTGCCTCTGCCTCCTGAGTGCTGGGATTAAAGGCATGGGCCACCAATGCCCAGCCACCCCAGCTCCTTATTAGGTTCTCTGTATATGTCCAGTGTGTGTGTGTGTGTGTGTGTGTGTGTGTGTGTGTGTGCGCGCGCGCGCGTGCCTCTCCACTGAGAACAACCTTGAGTATTGTTCCTCAGGTGTTGGCAAACTTTTTTTTGAAGTTTGTAAATTTTTTAGAAATTATATCCGTTCTGGGGATTGAACTCAGGTCCTCATGCTTGTGAGCTATGTTGCTCTAACTGACACAGTTCAAATATATAATTTATATAAATTACTTAGTACCGCTGTAATGTAACAAAGGCTCTTAAAGCTACTAGAGCCAGCGATGTCCTGCCCACCACCTCTGGAATGGACTCTCCCCAGAGCTGCGTGAGGAAGGCAGTCATAGGAAGAGACCCAGAGAAAAACAATCGAACAGCAGTGGTCAGATAATATCAAAGTCAGGGAATTGCAAGGGAGGGCCACCCTGCACCTCTGCAGATGCCGTACTGCAAGTGGAAACCCTGGTTCCAAAACCCAACCTCTGCCCCGCTGGCTCGGCTTCCAACCCTGGCTCCTTCAGTCAGGCAAACTGCTTCATCTCGCTCCATCTCAGGTTCTCTGCAGTAAGCTGGGCCGGCTGTGCTCACTTCTCAGGATTCAAGTCAGAAGAGATGCTATCTCTACAGTACTTAGCAGAATGTCTGGATTTTAGCAACATCAAACACTTGTGGAGTTGCCTTGGTTTGTTTTCAAATCCTGGGGGTTAAAGACAGGCGAGGAGAGGAAACCAACTTCTGAGGTGACTTTTTTTTTCTTGGTGCATTTGCTTTAATCTAGAGCATTCAGGCTTGGATAGTCTTTGTCAGGCTGCCTGGGTAAACTCATTCCACTCTTCTGTACCCACTTGTTTAATATTGACCGTGTCTCCTGCATCCCAGGCACAGCATTGCAGGGATGCCGTGGTCTCAGCAAGAGCTCCAGAGGTGGAAGGGCCCTACCTTGCTCAGGTATTTGTTAACTCCAAAGGCTGCTGTGCACACTGGGTTCTTTGGCTTTCAGCACTCTCTCCAAAAATTCAAAGAGTTTCCTGCAGTCTTTTTGTGCTACAAGCACAACAGTAACAGGAGCGAATGGTTTTCCAGTTCTGCTCTGTGCTCACTATTTACTATGGCCTGGCTCTTCAAGATTTACATGCTTTTTCTTCTCTCTCTCTCTCTCTCCTCTCTCCTCTCCTCTCCTCTCCTCTCCTCTCCTCTCCTCTCCTCTCCTCTCCTCTCCTCTCCTCTCTCTCTCTCTCTCTCTCTCTCTCTCTCTCTCTCTCTCTCTCTCTCTCTCTCTCTCTCTCTCTCTCTCTCTCTCCTCTCCCTCTCCCTCTCCCTCTCCCTCTCCCTCTCCCTCTCCCTCTCCCTCTCCCTCTCCCTCTCCCTCTCCCTCTCCCTCTCCCTCTCCCTCTCCCTCTCCCTCTCCCTCTCCCTCTCCCTCTCTCTCTCTCTCTCTCTCTCTCTCTCCCTGTTTTTCAAGACAGGGTTTCTCTGTGGCTTTGGAGCTATCCTGGAACTAGCTCTTGTAGACCAGGCTGGTCTCGAACTCACAGAGATCCTCCTGCCTCTGCCTCCCGAGTGCCACCAACACCCGGCTGAATTGTCACTATTTTTATCCCCATTTCACAGACACACGAATTCAGACTGTGTGTTCACAAGGGTGGAACTGGAATTCAAAACCAGGAGGTAACGCAGAGCTCACCGGGTTAACACTTCAGCACCTTAGTCTTAACCAATCAGATGCGGGAAGGCTCAGGCACTGGTCTCCCCTACCTCCCTACCCCAAACAAACAGCAGCAATAACCAGGTCCAGGTGAACTGGATCAAGGAGACAATCCTTGTGAATTGGAGTCTTTCTTGTAAGAAACTGAGACTAAAAGATTCTAATTACCATAAACAGGAAATAGTGAGGCTCAGCTCAGCAGCTGGAGCTGGCTAGGCTGAGCCGGCAGGGAGGACGCCCACAGCGAGCAGTGCACCTGTGCTGCTGGCTGCCTCGAAGCTCTCACCCCACCCACCTGCGAGCCTGAGCATCACAGGTGCAGGGAAGGGAAGCAATGTGGTATGTGCCTGCGGATGCCTCTCTAAAGGAATCCCCCACAATTAGGAGCACTCAGCCAGCAGGTTCTGAAAAGTTCAAAGGCAAAGACTTTCATGTAAGATCAAAATCAGAACCCTCTCCACAAATTGGTGCTTCTCTTTGTATGGGTGGTCAGAATTGCTGAACTCTCTTCAAAATCTTCTACTAGTGTTGCCAAGTGGGTACCTGGCCCAGGACCAGAGAGGCTTGACACTTTAGTTCTATCATCTCCAGAGGCTGCACAGCACTGTGGCTCAAACATTAGAGTGATCAGAAGTAAATTCCAGCTTTGCCTTTTTGATTTCAAAATAATTAGTAACTCCATTCCTTAGTCTCACCATGTATGAAATGTTTAAGTGCGTAGACCAATGTCTGGCCCACCATGAGTGTTGTTAGTACTTGCCATCACTATTTCAGAAATAGAGAAACTCTGCTCTGGGAGGTCAATTGTTGTCCCAAGGAAACAGATGGTTTAGAAAGCTGTTCTTTAGACCTAAGTCTACCAGGTGGAATCCAGCTGGTTTATGTAAGCCTTAGCTTCTGATGATAGCATTGTTGATGCCAGGTGACTGACAGACTCCCCTGAGGCAGGCCAGTTCCACAGGACAGGGATACTAGTCAGTCAGGGCAATTGTATTGGTGCAGAGCTTAGACGTTGAAACCAGGTACCACGACATCAAACCTGGTTCTAGAATTTAGCAACTTCCCTGGCTTTGGCTTCCTTTTTTAAAAGTAT